CCGTGGACATGCCCCTTGGTTTTGCCTGCTGTTTTCGCCAGAGACATGGCCGATTTCATACCCCAGAAGAGGTGACGTCACGCCTTTCGTGGGAACTTGTCCGCGGACAAAGTCCCTCGTGTGAATACACCTTAAGATATATCCGCCGTGTGAATACAGCTTTAGCTGGAACTAACACGCTCACGATTCATGCTGGGTGAAGACCACGCTGTCGCTGCTTTAGCCAGGTCCCATATCCTGTTGGATGCGGCCTCCAGAAATGCTAAACGCATGTTGGCAGAGTATGTTTCTGCAAAATGGCAACGCACGACTCGCACCTTTCGAGAATGAGATACCACATTGACCAATTGCTTCACAACAATATAAGATTATGATTGGTGGTCGGTTTGAGCGACGAGGCACTCGAACAAGGTTTAGGTATGTTTTTGGTTCTCAGGTTTAGATGCGATCTCCAGCCAACCGAAGAAAAGTGCCGCGTCTCTAAATGTTTTGTGCATTGTCAGTGCAGTGTTTTGTGTTAAGCACGTTGGTGGAGTTCCAGAATGAAGCAGGACATTAGCGGACTGACTTCGTTGTCATCTCCTGATCCTCCCGCTGTTTTGTCGTCATCGCTTTGACCCTTACTTGATTTGGGAGCAGTGACGTCGTTGTGACAAGAAACAAAATATTATGGATCCTCGGTATCTTAGAAAAAAGTATTTATATTTGATTCAAATAAAAATCAACAGCAAAACATTTATGGCAGCATTTTGGTTGTAGTATTAGAAATTCGTCAAGCGTAGAACACACTTTTGGACTGGTAAATCTGACTGAAATTTTTTATCTACCGAGACTGATACCTCGACTTTCAAGGACAACGCCATTGGTTGTCGCTACGGTCACGTGATGCTTGCGCCAGCCAATGGGAGTGAGGCGTCACCCTCGAGGCACCCAGCCCTTTTGCTCTGCATGTGGCGGTGAGATAGTTAAGATGGCCATCAAAGTGCGAGATCTACCAAGTCAATGAAATACGCTAAATTAAATTTGGCGGGCGAGGCATTGACCACAAAAGTTTGCAGATTTTGTTACTTTCTTAAGGCTTTGGCATTTCGTGTTTTACGTTTTCGCGAAGTCACCACGGGCAAAAGCATTCTACTTTAAAATATAAAATGCGCGGCCGAAGAACACAGAAGTTTCTTGGCTCGGTGTCTACGTTTTAAATCTCGGGTTTTTCTTCTGAACACAGGGCGCGTGATTTGGACTTTCACATGGTAGTTCAACGTGCCAGAACTAACGGTGCCTCGAATGACATACGCACAACACTTGGAGAGCCAATCACCGCAACTTACGGAGGCAGCTCAGCGAATGACGATGCCGCAACACACATTTAGACCAAAAAACGCACTCTGAGTTGTTACATTAAGCAATGCAAAACGTCACGCTTGTATTGCTTAATGTCACAACTCAGACTGCGTTTTTTGGTCTAAACATATGCTTCGGCATCGTCATTCGCTGAGCTGCCTCCGTAAGTTGCCGTGATTGGCTCCCCGAGTGTGGTGCGGGAAAGCAGACGCACGGGCTTTTTTCAGAGTGTGGGGTTGAAAGAGCCAGTTCTTTCGTCACCTAACCAACACAGTGTGACGGATTGCACCAATCGAGCCTGAAAAAAATGGAAGCGGTGCGTTTTTAACGCGGAGAATCGTGATTACATGCGCCTGTCTCGGCGGGACGCCGAACTTTCGCGTGTAAATAGTGTCACGCAGTTCAGTGTGCCCATGTGTTCAGACGGCCAGTAAAAAGAGGCTGTTTTAGATTCCAGAATCCAAACAATAAAATAGGTCACTTATTTTTCTTTAACTGTTCTCTTTCTGCCGGTGCGCACAAGCGCTCCCGCAAGAGAGGAAGGTTCTAGGTTGTGCATCACAACGTGGGGGAATAACAACATCGAGAATATGGTAGGAGTGCTTTGATGTCTTGCTTAAGGTCTTTTTTTTAGTTCACACAGTACCGTTCTTTTACGTTGGATTATGTTACGGGAGCTAACGCCTGATTGCGCCGCGAGTCATCGGAACATGCGTGCTTTGTATGAAGCGTGTCAACCATTTAGTAACCTTGCACTGGAACATTCGAGGTACGAATGTTCCAGTGAATTATAACTTTAGGGTTCCGTGTTGTCGGAGTTCAATTTTCTTTTTTTCGAATTTGGGTGTATTCTTTTCTACCAGTTAACTCTTCCCTACATATTCGGTGTTTTTTTGTGTAAATTGGCTATGACTTAAACCAATTTACATAAAAAGTACCGAATTTGTGGGGAAAACTAAACACCGTAAAAAGAGAAAAAAAGAAACCAATTCGAGAAAAAAAAAAAACGCTTAAAACACGAAACCCTACTTGTAACGTAACGTAAGAAAACGCAAGCAAACGCTCCTGTGTGAATAAGCCTTATAACATGCCGGCTGCAAAAAAAAAAAAAAAAAAAAAAATCTCGGTGGTTTTTAGGCAGAACGCCGGCCGGATGTATGTTCTGCTCTTGGATAGACTCCCCAGAGAAAATTGCTAGCTGCCACAGAAGCCTTTGTTTGATGTTTATCTTGTCAGAAGGGCAAACCACCTGCTAAACAAGGCACTCCCTCTTCACAAAACCATCGAGAACTACGCCGAGCACAACTGTTTTGACTTTCTGCGTTTCTTTTTTGACGCTTTTTGTAGTGACTGGTTACGGGCTACTGTAGGGTGATCGACTCCTTTCTTACAGTGGTTTCATACATTCTACTGTCGTAGCTGCAGTTTGGGAAATCAACGTCCCGTATAGGTGTTAGACATTGTTTAACAGGATATTATATGTTGTTTGGGATTGAAACGAGCTTGCGAAATTGAGAGAGCATTATCAAGAAGGTCATTCGCTTTGCCGTTTTGTTTCCCCTGTTTCCTGATGCTTTACGCTAATCTGGTAATGACTGCACTTTGATAAAAATCGCTGTGAGTTGGTCACGCTCTCATTTCTTTAAGGACACGGTCTTATGGGAGCTAGTTTAAGAACACACGTTTTTAATTTAATTTATGCACAAATGAAAATGAACAAAACTAAAGAGCCCGTTGTTCTGAAAGCAATTTCAAGGCGTAGTTAGAGAGATTTTAAAAGAAGTCATGGGAGTGTGAACGGTGGTCAGGTTAGCAAATTATCTGCTATAGAAAATTTAGGGTAACTTCTGCTTCAATCGGTGCCTTGTGCGGTTTTTTTTTTTTGTTTTGTTTTAAGGAGAGTTCTTATGTTTTGATGCATTCGTTCTCAGTCTACTGCAACATCAACTGTAGTCCTGAAGTATGCGACCGCTTGCTCTGAAAAAAATAGTCGCGTTGATTGTTTACTTCACACCGTGCTCGGAGCCTGAATAATTGAAGCCTATTAAGCGACCTGACCAAAAACCGTGCAGAACTAAGCTTTTCTAATTAAAGAATGTATTTCAGGAAAGTTAGTATTTTTGACGCATTGCATGGATGGTTACCAATCGGTGGGTTTGTGCGTGGCATTTACACTGTGCACTTTACGAATTTCGCCATTGACGTTGCTTTGTGCAGGCATGTAGAGGGCATTTTTAACGTATTTTAGTCACTATGGTGGATGTTGTGAAAGTTTACTGAGATTTCGTTCGTGCCGAGGTAATTGGAAAGAACAGCACGGTACACAGCGCGACACTCCTAGTGCGAACACGACATTCGTGATGTTTCGTATTTCACTTCAAATCGGTATTGACAGGCACTAAATTGTATGGCTTAATGTAGTGCCCCGCATTAGCACATTTTCTAAGACAAGTAATTTTGTTGACAACATTTTGATTACAAGAGGGGGGAAACAATAAAGCCGGAGATCGGTTGCTGGCGCTAACAGTGTCGCGCCGTGTACGTCCACATTCTGCGGTCCTTCGTCTCTCGGTTAGCTCCTTCAATTGAAGACCAAGCTACATTATTAAAAAAAAAAAAAGAAGTGAAGGCGCGCATGAATTAGAGAAGACTGATCATAATGAAGAAAATCTTGAAAATGAAGACCACATGCACGTACGACTTTAAGAATTTGTTGCGTGTGTGTGTGCGTGTGCTTTCTGATGCGAGTTTGTCACGAGTCTTTAATTCTGATTGACACAATACGTTGTGGCATGATACCGGTGCTGGTACGCTGAACATGTACACATCGCTAAACGCGACGTTATGTAATAGTTGGAGAAAAAGCCTCGCGCCTTATCAGTTTTCGCACATGGAATGTTCCTGTGCTCGTCTAGAGCCTATGATATATTGCGGAAATTTATTCCCGTTGTGCTAGCAAACAAGTCTAGAATAAAAGGGCAACACAAGAGAAATCTGGAGTTTCATATCCTGGCCTTTGTCTCATCTCACTGCCGGGCGTTCCAGGAGCAGCCGATGAGAGAAGGCGTGTGAGCGCAGGGAGGCAAGAGGGCGTCCAGTTTGCATTGAGCGTTGCAGGTTTAATGATTCCATGTACAAAATAAATACACAGCCTGGAAAATTTTACAGGTGTCGCAGCTGGCTTCCAGTCCGCCTCCGTTGACTTCGGACCTGAAATAAAGAAGGTTGACTTTACATTTTTTGGTAGAGCTTGAGCGATTTAAGGGCGGCTTGGTGCAACAACACACTGACATATCTGACCTACATTTTTAAGTCAAAAACTTCTGAATTTTCTACTTGGACAAAAGAAGACATTAATCATTCTAATCAGCGTAGCATCACTATTAAAAGAAACGATAAAAAAATCTAGAGATTACTTTAAACAGCAAAGCAAGCATGTTCCGTCGTAATCTTTGTGTCCTAAGGAGGTTCAAGGTTACATACAAGACTGTTCTACGAGAAGTTGGGTTCTCGCCAAGCTTTTTGCCACTTTTCTTTGAAAAAAGGCGTTTCAACTTGACTCCTGTCGCTTTGATTTGGACTTGTTAGGAGTCGGAACTTACGGGAAGCAGCTGCGTCACGACTGCAGCTAGCTGGAAAGCGTTTGGTGGGGCAGGGGTTTAGTGGTAGCCTCCCTTGAGACCGTAGCCGCCGAGGCCGTAGCCGCCGTAGCCACCGTGGCCGCCATAGCCGCCAACGAGGAGTCCACCTCCGTAGCCTCCGCCGAATCCACCGCCGTAGCCTCCGCCGAATCCACCGCCGAATCCACCGCCGAGTCCACCGCCGAGACCACCGCCGACGCCGACGACGGCGTGGCTGACGGAGACAACGGGCTGGACGGTGTGGGAGACGGTGGCCACGGGCTGCCTGACGTAGCTGACGACGGGGCGGGTGACGTAGCCCACGTTGACGACGGGCCTCTTCACGTAGGAGACGGTCTTGACGGGGACAGCCACAGCGTGGGCGTGGCCGTGGCCGTGGCCACCACCGTAGCCACCGCCGAAGCCTCCGACGAGGCCGACGCCACCGCCGTAGCCGAAGCCGCCATATCCGCCGGCGTAGGCGCACGCAATCACAGCAGCGAAGACGACCTGCGCAAAGACAATGGATTCGGTTGAAGACAGTGGCTACGACACTTGGGGTATAATAAATGAAAAGAAACAGCAGAGGTGGATGGTTTTTGTTCTGTTCTGTCTAAATGAACTTCGCGTTCACTGTAATTGGCGAACGCTCATTCTAAAATGCGCTTCCGTGGATCGTTTTAGGCTTGATATTGAACCATCGTGAAACGCACTGACACTCTTTAGATTGCATATACACATTCTATTTTGCCTGTTTTATAGACAAAATATCGTAAAGATTATAATAACAAATTCTCTCTCTAAATCCGACAAGAGTAAAACTCTGCTAAGATCGTTGTAATCTCAAAGCTACACAATGAGCCAAAAGAAATCTATTAGACGCTGCCACAAACTATGCGATTGCGTAGACACCGCTTCGCTAATGTGCCCTCGGGCGCAAATGGAAACAAACGACCAGAGGTTACGCAACAAGGCCACTATTCGGCACGAAACAGATTGGAAAGATTGGACACTCGCTTCGATACTGGGACCTTGTGATGAAAGCCTGACCCGAGGACGTAGAAAACACCGGCGCATTTACGCGAAAGTGTTTTCAGCGTCCTGGAGGCTGCGGACCGAGTGAAAACCCGAAATGCGAACGGCCACTTCGGCGATCCTCGTTGACTTGTTGCCGTGAAGCCTACTTCACGCAAGTCAAGAAGGTTCGCGGAAAAGCCTGCCTACGGGGAGTTGGAAAACAGCTCGTCGCCGAGCATCGGCGTAATCTCGAACCACAATTGGACCAGAACGATCCGAGAGAAATACCATCGAAGCCACCGAAACTTACGAGGGTGTTCATGATGCTGGTATTCCTCTGGCTCGTTGCAAGAGAACACTGATGTCCGGCAGAGCTGAGGGCCCGACTTTTATACTACTTCAGCGACCCCGAAGGGAGAAAGCTTGAGTGACCCAGTCCACTAGAAACTCCAAGAAAAAAAAATTAAATTCAACGAGGAGCGACAAGCTAGAAGGGTGGACCGAAATCCAGGGAGAGGGTTGCGGTGAGGAGGCCAAAACATTCGTCCACGCCTCTCGGGGCAGCAACCGAGCGCGTTTTCTTCGCACTACCTTCACGTTTGCCCTCCGTAAGACGGAAGTGGAGAGAAGAAACGAAGAAAAAAAAATAATAATCTGGCGGCCGGCTGCTTGTTACGTTTGCACCGCAGCCCCACGCGGCGCGGAGTATGAAAACACGGTCGACTACAAAATATCAAACAAGGGCAGAAGCCAAAATTCCGCCGGAACATTCACGCGAGTTTTGTCTCGGGGCGGCTTTATAGAGAGCGCCCTGATTACCTCGCTTTCAGGGCTTTTCGAATGTGGGCTTATTCGCCGGAGCCTCGCTCGATTATTTCTTCTTCCTGCTCGCCCGGGTGTGTGGCCTTTGAGAATTGTTTTCGTTTATTCGAATGGTTAGGGTGAGACGATCAACGCACGCGCGACGTTGTGTCGGGGTGGCAAGAGCGGCCCGTCGCGATCTTGTTAAGGATCGCAGCTCTGCCGACGGGAGGGAGAAAGCGGACTCGCTAGGAAGTGACACGTTTTCTCTTGCTGATTTCTTGAGGCCGTCCAACTTGAAGGCGAATCAAATGAGGCGACAATTAAGAGGCCGCCGTCCGGGATTTTGGTCGCCGTTCCCACCGTCCTCGCTCGCGGTACGCAGGTAATCGACTTCAATTGTGAAGGCGAGAGCTCGGCTTGCGTAAGGGACGTCTTGGAGCCGCTCCGTCGCCGCATCGGAGACGCGGCGAACGCTACTCGGTGACGTTATTGTGACCGGCAGAGCGACCAGGGCACGCACGGCGACTGAAACAAAAACGTGCGCATTGTTTGGGGGAACATGGACGCAGTCACTGAGGAGTTTGGGTTTCTGACGGTCTCTGTCTTTTCAGACTTTATTTTTTTGTTATATATGTTTGTTTTTATTTTGCGTTGGCTTAAACGGCGACGTCCGACTCTGTTCCAGTTGCCAGATTGGAGCGATTAGCTCGACCTCGAATTAATCGCGCTCTTGCTTGCTGGACATTCTCGGTCTATCCGTGTGCCCACACTGGGCGCCGTGTTTTGCGAGGCACTGGGCGAGGACGCCAACACGCGGCAGCCGAAACAAGAGGATTACGAATGCAAATTGTTTTCTTTTTAACTGTTGCCGCGGCGGCGCGCAGAGGACAGCCGTGTCGCTTTGAGCCGTCGTTTCGTATCTTATTACGCTGGGCGTGTGAATATTGTTGCTTGAAGGGTCTGACCGCTGCCAAGCTGTCACAACTCCAGAATGGAGCCTATTTTAGGCGCATATTCCCGGATTCCGACGTGGCGAGTCTTTCTCAACAGATTGGCCCGAGGTCGGTCCATTAATGCAACGCGCGTCACATTCCGTCGATTAAAGCCCTTTCCCCTCAATCTGGCCAAGAAGGGCAAGCCACGCCCGTCCTGATTCGACGGCGGTGCTGTAATGCGATATCGGTAATCCGAACGCAAAGAAGCAAAATCGTAACAGAACGGGTACACTGAAGGCGCAAACTTCTGTTTACTTTGAAACACTCGTTTGGTAAGAAATGATGCCTGTTGTAAGCCTTGTCCATTCATTGAAAAACTTGAAAGTAGCTCTCTTGTGATATACTGTTTTTGTACCTCGTTTCACTCTGTTTTCTCGGCGTTTTTCTATGTTCATGTGTCGGGCACTCCTTCACGAACTGAAGTGAGTCGGCACTATTAATTAATAAATTTTTTTTTTTTTTAAATTTTGTTGGTCAATTTTGGAGCCACCTTCTATTGTGCGACGAATGTTTCAGCCTAATTTGATAACTTTATTTGTTAAAAATAAGAAATTATGCTATTAATTTGTTGTTTGGCTCAAATAGCGTTTAAAGGGATTGTCCTCCCGAGGTTGTGTGTCTCCTGACACCTACTTCAACTAACCTCTTGTGAAGTCCGGCGCGGCACCCCGAGCGAAGTCCTGTACTCCTTGCCACCGCACCTTTACCACGTGACACTGAAAAGAGCCGGACGGTACCGGAGTTGCTCGCCTGCCCTCGCACCCTCGCCGTATCCTTCGAGGTCGCAAGTGTCGTCTGCTAGAACCGGGTGTACCTAGTGTTCCCGGCATTCCTTTTGGCGTCGCGGACGGCGTTGAACGCGTTACAGGAGGTCTATTAGGGCTCGTTCACACACTTGCGTTCAGAGTGGCCGCCACAACTACGAACGAATGCAACCGGTTTGAACGAGAAGTTGCCGTGGCAACGAAGCGCCAAACGGCCCTTTCGTTCGCGTTCGTTCACAGCGCAAGGAGTTGAGCCGTGCTGAACTTTTTCGCTACGTTTCGGAACAAAAGGGGCGACCACAAAAACAGACCAATCATAGGTCGAAGGTAGCTCGGCCACGCGCGTTGCATGTCGGTCGTGGTTCCGGCGATCTGTTGAAAAACATTGCGTCGGTGGTAATCGTCGACGTGATCGGCGTGGTGGAAGCTCATCGTTCAGCGTAGAGCGCTATCCGTGTCGCGATAGTGAACTAGCACGTCTAAGAAGGGAATATCCATCTACTCGAGCGGCGATGTCTTGCAGGCACCCTCAAGACCGCAGAAACGCTCGTGCCGTCGTGTTTGCTTACTTTGACTACAGTAGTGCTTTCTTTGCATTTGTCTCTTCGAACATCGCCCGGATTTCTTATTTTGCGCACTTCATGCGTGTACTCATGTCGAAGGTAATGCTGGTGTGTACTGTAATTAACGGCATGTAGGAAGGATGCGAATTCATCACCCGAGAAAAGTGTTAGCATGAATGCTCGCAACGTCAATGTGACCACGGAATCATAGTTCTACGTTGCTATATCGCCGTTAGAATTACATCGTGTTAAGAAAGCGTAGAAAAACGGACGACATTTGTACTATCGTTAAAGTCGTGTGTTAAAGTCGTGATCGTCCAAGACCATTTACTGCATCTTTTTGTTTTTTTGTCCATTCAACCCTGCAAGCCTATCCTGAAAAAAAAAAAAAAAAAAAAAAGCTTTAGACTATAGAAAATTGTCTGTCCATTTTCTCTTACACAAGCGAGTGGCAGCGCGTCCCCTTCTTTTTAGAGGCGCCGCGGAAACAGCTGACGGCGGCGGAGAAGCGGTCGCCGTGCTGATGACCCGCTGCGCTTGTTGCAGCGGTTGCAGGAGTGTGTACGCGCGGCGCAGAGCGGTCGTTCCGGTCGCTCCGGTCACAACGATCGCAGTCGTAGCTAACGCGCTCGTTGCAGTTGTCAGAACCAGCCTTGAGACACTTCAGTGTATATTGGTGGCGGGAATATTATATTTCGTCGATTTAGTTACGTACATACCATCAAATATCTAGCCGGCACGTTCCTCCGGAGAGAAAAGAATTGTTCCGCAACAGATCGGTTTGGTTAATACCCAGAGTGGGTAGCTTCCGCCTTCAGTATTTTTGTAATCTTCAAAACGCAAAAGAACAACACAATAAAAAAAAAACACTTTCTTCATGCATGGTTTCTTGCACGGGAGAGGAAGAATGCTCGGCATTGCGTATCTCTTGGCTCACTATTGTTACAAACAGATAACAATCACGTTACGGTGCAAAACCAAACAAACAAATAAAGGTTAGTAAGAATACGGAGCACAGCCATTGTCGGTAAGCGCTTAGTTTTCATGGCTGCAGGTGGCTTTCTTTGCTCAAGTTTCGTATTTTCCCACGACTCCGAAATGGGCAAGACGCAGCAGCGAGTGCAACAAGGCTCCCTTTTTTCAACCAACCTTTGGTGGTAATCTGTTACCAGTAACGGATTTCTTGTAATCCATTACTTTTTCGAGTCAGACTTGGGTAGTAGTTAGTTGCCAGTAACTTATTTCTCGTAATTCAATACTTTTTCGCGTAAATTTGTAACTGACTCATTGCATTCGCGCGGCAGTAATTTGTTACGTAATGCAAACACAAATTATTTTAAGAAGCAATTTGTTATTGCTCATTACTTTGAAAAAAGAGCCCACAAATAGAATACGGTAATTAACTCACTATAAGCAGTCGAGCGAAATGGGAGGATCAACGCGTTTCAAGCCTGATTCACATGGTGCGATTTTGCTTGCGATTTTGCGGTTGCGATGTTGGGTACCGCGACTTCCACCTCGCTTTATTTATTTATTTTTTTTCGCCGCACGAGCGACGTCGCAAAGAGAAAATCACGAGTCAAATCGGACCGTGTGAATCCGGGCTTCGTGCTTTGCGATTGACAGTGTCGTATGCCTGATAGTTAATAGACCACCGCATTCACACTCAAACAGGTCCATTCTAGAAATTTAATCGCACCTCGAGGTTCTGATCCTCATGGAATTATGACCGTCTAATGTAGGACTCGCGAGTTTCGTTCGTTTTGTCGCGCCTAATATAAGAAAAATATGTACATATTGTAAGTAATATTGGAACATACAATGGAAATAAAAGTCTTATTATCGCTTGCGCGCTCCAGTTTTACCTATAAGACGCATAAGCCGCGGATACATGGATGCAACCCTAACGTATCGAATCGAGATATGACGAAGAAGAGAAAGAGGTACTAAGCGCGTGCGATTGGTTCTTTGTCACTTCGAAGCGCTACTGTCGCATGCAACGCAGCCATATATTGTTTAGGGACTCAAACCGAAATATTTTACGTTTCGGTTGCGGTTACCTTTTCCTGTTGATATCGGTTTAGTTTCAGTTCTTTACGGTTTTAATTTTTAGTGCTTCGGTTAACGGTTACACGTTCCTAATAACCGTATTTTTTCCCAGTTTCTTCGATAGTTTGTTTTATTGAAATACTAGAA